AGAATACAACAAAGGCCAAGATCAAGAGGTTTTAGTTGAGAATGAGGACTATGCTGGGAATTGGACTAGATGGCATGAATGTTTCAATCAGGCAAAGAATTTGTCTATGTTTTGACCTTGTCCTGAGATTCTGTGGGAGTATGAATTTAAAGGTGGCATACTGCTGGCAGAGGAAATTTCAAGGTAACTCAATGTTCATGCAATGGCATGGGTATTGCTAGCTTCCTTAAGCCAGATTTACAGTGAGAATCAGAAGCAAAAATAGAGCTGAAAGATGAGAAAATTTTTCATTTTGCTACAAGGGAAGTATGTGTAAATCTGAGGCCAAGGAGAGTGTGGTTGCTGAAAAGATTAATAAAAAAGTAGCCAAGTGCTTTGCATGAGTACAGTAGAAAGAATTAATTGAGGTCATCTCAGAAATTGGTCAGCCTTTACCAATCACAGGATCAAGGGTATAAGAAAGTAAACTCTTGTGAAAGACTTTGCTTTGAGAAGGGAGATCCAGGGTTCCCTGATCATTCAGGGCTGCCTAGGGAGGTATATCCCTGAGTTCAGACATCCAGACACTCAGAGGCCACTGCCTCTGTTTTCAAGAGGACCAAAAAGCTGCTCAAGCTAGCAGCAGACCTTGGTATCATCCACATTGTTCTAGTTTTATCAGCATGCAGAATGCAAGAATTGTAGGATCATAGAGGCTTTTACTTCTAATTGAGGAAGTTTGGAAGATCAGGCAATGTGCCCCTGATAGGATAACGTGAGAAGCTGTGAAAGTGAAGTAAAAAGTGCAGTGGACACCACAGGAAGTTGAAGATGCCAGAAATGTGGAATGTCTACCGGGAAAAACTGCAGTCTCTGAAGAGAATTAGCTCAGGGGAGAGGCCAAGTGGGCAGAAACTCCAAAGCTCATGGGAGTGGAGTTGTACAAGCTCTTTGAAGTTCAATTCTCAACACAACCCACTGTAGGTCCTAGACATGAAGCTACAGGATTTAATATTTACCCTATTGGGTTTCAACTTTTGGTTTGGTCCAGTTCCTTTCTATTTCTCTATCTCTCCCTTTTGGAATGGGAATGTTTACTGTGCCATTGTATATTGAAGGGATTTAACTTTCTTTTTGATTTTTACAGAGGCTTACACCTAGGATTTTGTCTTGAGTCTCAGAGAAAACTTTGGACTTGGACTTTTTAGCAATGGTAGAAATGTTAACTTTGCCATTGTGCATAACAAGGTAAACATGAACCTATTGGAGCTCAAAGCCTAAATGTTTAACCCTGAACTATCTCCCAAATTTCTCATGTGTAAAGAGGTGGGAATTTTGAAGGTGATTGGATCATGGTGATGCTATACTTATTATTGATGAGTACATAATTGAATGTGGTGTTAGAGATAGGGTTTGGTTGGAGCAGTGCCTTTGGAGGGTGTAGCTCTCACTGGAGCTGTTTCTCTCTCTCTCTCTTTCTCTCTCTCTCTCTCTCTCTCTCTCTCTCTCTCTCTCTCCCTCCCCCTCCCTCCCTCTCTCCCTCTTGGATGCCACAGATTGAGTAGCTTTCTTCTGCCATGTACTTTTTTGCCTTGGAGCCAGCTGACTGTGACTGAACTCTCTGAAACCATGAGCCAAAATAATCTCTTCTTTAAGTTTTGTGTGTCAGGTATTTTATTCCAGTAATGAGAGAGTGACTAATTCAAATATCTATCCATGAAGGAGCCCAAACCATCCCAACCAACCAAACAAACAAATAACCAAACTCACAAAATAAGAGGCAGTAAAAAAAGCACAGAGAGCTACAGGCAATACTTACTACCTTCCAAGAATTACTGGCTATTTTTGAGGAGTGGAGACAGAGAGGCTATACATTGCCAGTCTGTGGGGGCACTCTTGGTTACCTTTGTCTTTACAGACATTTAGGAGACTGACTCTATTTGCAGAGTCCATCTGGTAGCTATTTTATTTACCTTCTATATTTTCTATGGAAAGAAGACTAGCATTCAGAAAAGAAAATAGACAATTGAAAACCACAGAATAAGTAATTGAATCTTCTTGGAAAGCTAAGGCTTCAAAGAACTTGAATCTTATTTTTAGGGCTTCTAAGGTAAGGACACATGGCTCTAATGTTCCTCAATATCGAATTACTTTCATTTTAAGATACGTAGGGACTATGATCCCCTTTTCCTTGAGGTCAAGCATTGCCTACAATTGACTAGAGAGTGTCCACGAAACATCAGGAATGACACATATCATTTATAGTTCCTGACACTGGTGCAGGACTTCCTGCCCTCCTCTACTTCTGTACCTCTCAAAGGAGTCATTTATTTCAGACTGTGCAGCCTGGAGGTGCACGGGGGCCAGCTGGACCTCTGCAAGCTGGATTGCTGAATCACCAGGCAAAGGACAGCTGCCCTTAGTATGTTTTGGAGTGAAGAGGATTTTTGTTTGAAAGAGAAGTGAACCGTTTTGGCATTTTGTGTGTAGAAAGCAGCACAACCTAGCTGATGGTATGCAGTACTGGGCTTGTGGGGATGAAACTTCTCTTCTTCTTTTGGTGACTTTCCTCACATTTTGCCCACTTCCAAGTAGCCAAACTACTGCAGATTTATAATACATAAACCTAGAATGGCAGATACACAAAGGGTTTCAGCTATAGGAATTGGGAGGAAATGGCTGCTCCTTTTCTCTTCAGTGTGTGCTCCCAGGTAATTCTCTAATTGCACACAAACATCCCATCCATCCCATGCTACCCCGATCCCAATCCTCCAGCTCTCTGAGCAGAGCAGGTAAAGGAAAGAAGTGGCCTCCCCAGCAACACAGACTTGCCACAGAGCCAGGAGGCACTGTCATGCTTCAAGAGGTCCAGGTTCCTTTTTGGAAACTACTTGAACTGGTGTGTGCACTCATACACCCAGCTGTTAGAAAACTGATGTACCCATAATTAGAATCTGAAGAGTTTATGTTTTTAAAATTTCTAGTACAAAATTCTAGGTCCACATTTCTGACTTGAGGTGGATAAAGAGATAGGGGAATCTAACTTGAAGTAAAGATAAGGAATATCTTGTACTGAAACTGAGTCTAATTAATTAAGACTTCTATTAGATGTGATAGTATTGATTGTAACAACCACTGTGGTAAGGTTTGTATCAATTCTGATTTTTGTTGAATTGAAAACATTAAACCCACAAGCTGAGTCTAGATCTTATTTACTATAACATCATCTTTGGAAATTCATCTTGGATCATTAGAGTCAATTCAAGATGAAAATTGTAATGCAGATATTTAGTTAAACCATGGATTTTGGCCAAATTCTATCCTCAGCTGTACTCAAATAGTCTTCATGGCTTTGATGGAAAACCTTGGAAATATACATGTGGACATGATTTGGCTTGAGGTGGGTGGATTTGTGGGGTTGTCATGAATAGAACTGGAATTGGTTATGAAATCTCAAATTAAGAACTGCAAGCATGTTTTTGCCTGGAGCTGCCAGTGGAGATGAAGAAAGCCCAAGAGACTCTGAAATCTGTGAAATGTAGCACCCCACTCCTTAAGCAAAATAAGAATCAAAATGCAGTCAGATGTATATCAGCCTTTGCTTGGTTTTAGGGTTTGCCAATATTACTACTTGTCCTTAGGATCTAATGCAAAGATTATCTATATTGTGTCAATGGGAAGAATTGGTCTTGAAACTGGCTTTAGAGTCAATTGAGGCTAAAGAAAATTAGAAATTTCTCATAAATGCAACATTTTTATTTCTCCTGTTAGGTCCCCTTAAGCAGGTTGCTATACATGAAGTTGTTTCTTCTGTTGGTTTATTTCTCAGTGTCATAGATGAAATATTTGTTTAAAAAATAATTAGCACTGTCAATGAGGTTTTTAATGTTTAAATGATATTATAGGGGAGAAAAAGTATTATCTTTTCCTCACCCATTGGAAGGTTTATGGCTGAAGTACCCATTGTAAATGCCATATTAACTAGATAAAAACTCATAAATTTATTTAATATAAATTTTATGTGACAAGGGAGAAGTTAGAAAAGAAGACCCATAGGAACAGGGAAATCCATACATTTGAAGAAGAATGTACAGTTGTAGGGAAGTATGAGTAGACAAATGGGGCATGACTAATGGTACTAAACTGGGGTAACTTGGCAAAGCCTGTTTGTTCAAATTCTTCAGTATGTCTCTCAGTATCTTCAAAAATGAGTACATCCCTTTCCTCTAGGTATAGGATTTTCACCTGTCATATGAGGGTCTAAAGACCTATTTTAGAAGTTCAGAGGATTCTTTTATGGCTTACTTTAAGAGAAAAGGAAAGATGAATACCGGAGGGTTTTTTTCTGTTGTTTTCTCAAATGCAATGGTGCTATATTTTGGGATAGCACATTCAAGGTATCATTAATTATCTTAAGGAAATTCTTAATTAAGAGCAGACAACACTAATAATTTCTATATTCAAAAAAGAGTTCATTGACCTATTCCACTGGATATTACCACCAGACTGGAATCGTATATTGGACTAAGTGTACCAACTAACATAGGATAAATTATGATTGGTTATAAATAACTTTAAAATTTTAAAGGTTTAAAAATATGCAGTGTATGTCCATTGTTTGAAGACTTGTCCATTATGGTCTTGTGGGGTTGGGTGGGAAAAGAGGATGCATTCTGCATTATTTTCTACCAGGAACCAATAGCTACATGGCCATGTGACCAGAATATAAAGTCAAAAAAGTGTGAAATGTGTTGGAGATGGTGTGAAACATAAAGAAACAAGCAGATCACATACTTCTCCTTAGAAGTGACACAGATCATTTCTGCTCAAGTTCCACTGGCCAAAGATGGACACATTAACTTCAAGGGGATAAGGCAGTGTAAACTTTTAATGACCAACATTAATGACCACTACAGTGAATATTTTTATTACAGTGAATTTTAACTCTTGCTAATTATTAAATATACAAATGCCAAAGGGTATTTTAACAAGGGATATGCATTAAATACTGTGTCTTGCAGAGACATTTGGGCTTAGATCTGTACTCATGGTGAATTGGACCCTTCATAGGCAACAGAAGATGCTTATATATAACATCAAAGTTTAAAGGAGCAGCCTACCCAGAGCATCACTGTTTGGTGGGGACAAGACAGAAAATGAGAGGGGCCAAGGAATGAGAAAGTATAAGAAGACTCTCTGATGCAGTGAAAAAAGGCATTATTTAAGGTAGAAGGCCAGTTTTAATCTCTAACTTTGCAATTTATTGGCTAATTGTGTCTATTGTTTATTTTCTAGGATCCTTGGTTCCCCTACGTGAAAGATTTAAAATCAAATGGATATTTTATGTAAATATTTTGTGACTCATAAACACTATACAACAATCACTGAAAGAGAGAATATGTTATTCTGAGCCCTGGGCATGAATGAGCTGTGCCCACATTTTAATGAATCCCTGATAATGTCTCAGAAAACAGAATTGGTATTTGGTATGGTACCAACCTATGTCATTTTTAGATAAGTCAGCAACACACTAGGTTTAAACTGAGAAAGTATGATAATAATAATAATAATAATAATAATAATATTTTATTATATGTAAAGGAATTATTTCACACTTTAACACCCAAAGCACATATAATTTGCCATCCCTGAGACAGATAAAAAACCCGAGTAACCAGGTGAGTACTAAGTAAGCAACAGAACAGAAAATGAATCCTGAACAAGAAATGAGCAGGAAAAAAAAATGAAGCCTGATGGGAAGAAGGCAAAAGAAAAAAATGCAAGCAAAAATGCATGATGCTGCAGTTTCACATCTGATGTTATAACATTATATGCAACTTCCTTTTAAAAAGATATCACTACATTATAGGAACAGAGATTAATACAAATGATTGAAAGTAGCTAATATTCAGGATATCTGTGGCAAGGTGAGATTACAAATATAGACAGGTGCATGACCATGGTGGGTTTTGTTGGCAATAGACAATTACTTTGTACAGTATCCTAACTATACTTTAAGTAAGCTGATTAAAAAAGACTAATACTATTATTTCCTAGATACTCACATTACCTACAAACAAAAATTGTTGTTTACTTTCTAAATTTATTGTGAATTACTATATTTATCTATATACTGTTACCTAAAATTAACTCCCCACTTTGGATCAACCACATTATCAAGATTATCTTTCTAAAGCATCAAGTTTCCTTTCCTGGTCTTCAAGTAATTTTATAAGAATATTTACTCCATTAGAGAATCTGGTCCATACATACAATATTTTAATTCCAAAGCATTTGAGTGAAATTAATTTGTTGGATTTGTGCTTGATTTTCTTGTAATCATCACAATACACAGACTCAAGGACTGTCCTTCAGATTTTTCCCTGGTGTAATTCAGTGCTGAAAGCTTTCAAAATGAGTGGAGGTATCATGCAAATTTTCTTTCCCATGCCATTTCAGTATTGTCAACAAACCTAAGGGTTGAATGAGCTGATTTTTGGTAGTCATAGAGCCAAAGGTAATCTATGATCTTAACATTTAAAATGAGTTAAATTTAATTATGTAATAATAATAACCTTTGATAAAAAAGCAAGAATGCAGTAATGATCAAGAGCCAGAATGCATTAGCTATCTGGAAATATTTTGGTTTGTTTTTTTTTAGCTAAATTCTTTAAAAGAAAATTAAGTAATATATACTCTTTTCTGTAAGTGTAATATGTATGCATCTCTGCAAGCTCTATGCTTATAGAAAACTTACATTTAATATAAGGTACAGGTATAGCATATTTTGTTTGAGGTTGCAACCATAATCTTGACTAATGATGTGACTAAAATTGTAATATTTACTATAGTTTTACTATATGTACTAGTACTATGTACTATTTCTAAAAATAGGTGAGACCAATGAAATCAGCAGTGCCTTGTAAACAAAATATCGGCTGTTTGTCCTTATATTCTGACATCTCTGGGAACTTACACTAGGTTCTGTGGAAGGATAAATAAAAAGCAAAACTTGATTTAACAAGTAGAGAGGGAATGCTTGAGAATGAAGATTTAGTTGAACATAGGCAAGAGACAGATCATGATACTATAGGATAAGTAAAAGTTTAATGTTTTTGTTTACTTCATGCTAACACAGTTCATATTAACTTTGGTCTGTACTTGTCACACAAAATGCAAAATAGTCAATTCTTAGCATTCAAATTTCTGAGGGCTTGAATTCTGGCTTACATAATAGATTTGGAAAAATACTTGGCTAGTCAGCCCATTAACTGTGCTTCCACCAACCCTGGCCACACTGAAAATAGTCTAAGGGGCATTGATTTTCCCCCTGGGGATGTGTGTTGAATCTTGGAAAAATTTCTTTTGGGGAAATCTTAACAGTTTGATTTCATGGCCTGAAGACTGAGTCCCTTCACGAAGATAGAGAAACCAGCAAAGTTTTTGTTTTTAGCCATGTCTGGGGAGGCAAATTGGAAACTTTTGGGGCTCCTTCAAGTACATGGATAGTTTACCCCATGTAACATTGGCTTAATTCTAGGTCTCTGTAGCAACACAGGAGATTGGGAAGGTAGTCTAAAAACTTCCAAAAGGCAAAGTGAAATCAAAGACATCAGGCAGAATGGGCCTGCTTCATGCACAACATTAGTCTCTAAATCAAGACATTTGCTAGACTATTAAGATACTTTGAGTGGTAGGCTGAAGGGCTGGGCTGGAAACTTATGAATGACAGAGCTGGAAATTATGAACTATTTCAGGGCTGATGAGAAAGAGATCTAGTAAGCCCTAAATCAAATTCTTGATATGATCACTTCCAAGAAGACTGAAACAGATGTAGACTGACACTTACTGTGCAATAAAGCTCTAACTCAGGTCAATTCTTGATTGGATTGGGATGCTTAACCTCTTACCTGAACTGCATAAGAAGTGAAAGAGAAGAATGCTTTCCTGTAAATTATAATATCATTGGAATCCTCTTCTTTTTATGTTTAATGTTTGATAATAATAATTAATATTATTATAATGAATTATAATTAACTATTCTTATACATGCAGAAAGACAAGAAAATATTAACAGTCAATAGAAAAAGATGGAAAATAGTAGCAGAAAAATAGATGACCTGAATATCAGAGTGTAAACTAAGGCATTCAAGTTAATTACATTAGAGGTATTAAGTATATCAGAGAGGAAGACGGAAAGATTAGGCAAAGATGTGGAAAATTACTTTAGAGAATTATATTTTGTTTAAAAATAAATAAATAATTGGGAACTGAAAAATACAAGTTCCAAAACTAAGAACTTAATAAATGAGTGTAAGAGGCCCACCCCAATACCATTGGTAAGGGTTTGCAGATTGCAGTGAGAAGCCAGTGTGGAACAGAGTGGCACAGCTACAGGCACTTCCAGCCAGGGCCCTGCCCCAATCCTGGGACCACAAGCCCCAGCCAAAGACCTGCCAGGAAAAAGTGCTATACAAGCAACATAAGCAACAGCCAGAGGCCTGTCCCAATATCATTGGTGTGTGCAGACCCTGGCTAGAAGCTACCCCAGGCACCAGCAACTGGGGTGCTCAGCCCCCAGCCAAATGCTCTCTTAGACAACAGCTATGTAGGAAGGTAGGCCTAGCCAGAGGCACACTTATATACCATCTCAAGTGTGCACAGGCCCCAAACAGAAACCAGCTCATACAACAGGACAACACAGGGACCCAGAAGGCTACTACTCTGAACCATGGAATTGGTGGAGTGGTGAGCAGTAAAGAAAAGGCCACTCTGTGGCTTGCTGAGAATTGAAGACCACTGGGTGAACAAAAGTTGCCTCAACAGAAGTGCAGAAGGCTGCAACTGTTGAAATGAGAACACACATAAACAAGTCTCAAAACTAGGCTTCCACATCACCTAAGGAAACCCCAAAGGGAAACAAGATGAAACAATCTGATACTCAACCACCTGGACTCCCTGAACTGGCAACAAAAGAGAATTGGGAAAAAATGAAACCAGAAATAATCAGATAACAACAGAGAATGTGCCCATAGGGAAAGACATGACTAATAAACTTACAGTAGACACTTTAAACAAAAAAGAGGAACTGAGGAACATGATGAAATGCCAACATAGGAAACAAATGGAATCCATAAAACAAATGCAAACAGATTTCCAGGAGATTAAAAACTCCACTGAAAGTTTAATTTAATAATTTCCTAGTACTGAGAATGAGCCAATGTGAGGACTGAATTTCAGATACCAAAGACAGGATTGCAATTAGTGACCAGGAAAAGAAAAATTTCTTAAAAATAGTAAGGGACCATGAGAAATTAATCCAGCAGCTGCTAGATGATGCAAAGAAGAATAACATAAGACTGATTAGAGTCAATGAAGAAACAGGAGAGAGTGCAGATGACATAAAAAAACTGTTCACAAAAGTGATGGCAGAAAAATTCCCAAGCAGGGGAAAATGACTTGACATACAAATAAGTGAGGCATATAGGACTCCAACTAGCCTTGATTAAAAAAAAACAAAACTACACATAGACATATAACTGTTAAGATTCCAGAAACCCAACAGAAGAACAAAATTCTACAAGCAGTTAGAGAAAAGAAACAAATCACATACAAAGGAAAGGCCATTGGTATCACAGCAGACTTCTCAACACAAACTATCAAGGCAAGAAAAGCTTGGAGGAAAGTATTGCAAACTCTAAAGGAAAACAACCTCCAACTCAGATTAATGTACCCAGCAAAACTATCTTTAAAAATTGGTGGAGAAATAAGATACTTTCATGACAAAGAACACCTTAGGAACTTCATGAATACCAAACCAGCACTCCAAAAAATTCTAAACAATATTCTAGGGAAAGACAATAAGGATCACAACCCAAGGAAGCCCAGCAGAATGAATCCATTATGCAAGACAATAAATTAAATGCAAAGGGAGAGAACAACAAAAAGAAAATGTCATGACAAGGATAAGTCAATACATATCAATTATAACCATCAATATTAATGGTCTCAATTCACCAAATAAAAGAAGTAGATTGGCAGAATGAATCAAGAAGACACAACAATATACTGCATACAAGAAACACATTTAGTTCAAAAAGAAACTCATGGACTGAAAGTTAAAGGGTGAAAAACAATACTCCATGCAACAGGAACCTGAAAAAAAGCATGAGTAGCTATCCCATTTGCAGATCAAATGGATTTCAACCCAACACTGATTAAGAGGA